TACCTTGATTTGCCCACTGTAGAGACTGAGGGAAGAATCCAACTCAAGCACAAGCATCATGTCTAAATTCTAGGAACAATGGGTAAAAAACAAATGAATGGATGAACAATAGAATGAATGGAAAATAGGATGAATAATGAAAATGACATGATTGTTTTGATGAATGGATGACTGTAAGGAATGATTGAAATTTGAATAAATGGATGAAAGAATTAATAAACATAATGATAATGTGACATGTACATCCRTTCCCATTTGCTGTCCTATGGAGAATATCTGTGCAGGAATCACAGATGTTTGCTTACCGAAACTTGAGGAAAGGGGGAGATWKGGAATGGATGTACACTGCCTTTAGATGGATGGAAGATAGAAGGAATGGATCAAAAAAAAGTGAGAATAATTTAAATAAATGAAAGGAAAAAAATGAGAGTGATTGATATTCTTTTGTGTCTTTTACTGTACTATTCCATACATGGTGTTCATGGAGAAATATTTCCATTGATATCASTGACTTTAAATTAAWGAAAAAAGACAACCAGGCACAAACCTTAAKAGGCACTACATCTTTAGCTTGAATATCCACAGCAAACACAAACACTAGATTGCTGTCATTACCAAGGACTTTAAGCATCCTGTGAAGTAGAGAAAAAAAGGTATTTAACACACCTTGTTTTGAGAATGCCTGACTGATTGATTGCCTGATTAGTTAATCAATTGATGAATTAATTTTTTTTTATGAATTAATTTTTTTTTAAACTACATGATTGATTGATTGATTGATTGTTGAATGATAGATTGATTGATTGACCAATAGATAGATTGAATGGAAGGTTAAAGACAGTTTGAATGGGTAACTGATTGTTATTCCGTGAGAATCAGTTGCAGACTAAGTAGTTAATGAATCCAACAATTTCAATAACCTAACATATACCTTAATTTACTGTTATATTCAGTCAAGTAGCATAGGTATCTGTTCTTGCAAGCATCAGTTGTCTGGATGACTTTACTGGCTTTTCCTTTAGTGCCATGTCTGGAACAAAATGAATCCTCTATCAATAAAACTATTAATTAATCAATAATAATGATTAATACTTATCAAAACTCATTTCAAAGGCTTCTCATGCAATGCGATTGTTATACTTACATTATATACAAATTATTGTACACTGATGTTAAGAAAAATAACAATTACCTCTTGACCAATTATTAGCAAGTATCACATATACTTCAAACGATATCATAGTGTTGTTGTTATTATAAACACTGTTCAAMATCTTAAAATAACCTGATAGCTGTTGGAGTCTCCTGCCAAACAAGTTTGAGCGAGATTTCAGGAGTCAAAGGCTCAAAGAAGTCCAGGAATGAGTTRTCTCTGGCAGGACCMCCTGGRGGRGAACGGAAGACTGAAGGGGACCTTGYATTCAGGAGTAAAGGAGACTCTATAACCATACAAGATAAAATCATTAATAAATTGATAAGTTGCAGATTGATTCTAAGATTAGCAATAATCAATCAATGATTACTTAATTGATATTAATTAACAATAATTTAATAATAATTATTAGAAAAATATTGAGTATTGATAATAAAAAATGACAAGWTGTATTTTCTGTATTGTATATTATCTTCTATCTTTCTCTACAGCTTGATTGTGTTATGTTATATTGAAGATAGTACAAACAGTATTGTGGTTCTAAAACGTCACACTACACAGGAATCCCATATGTAACACAGGTATCCCAATGCATAAATACCGTTAAAGATTGTCTGATATCTTAACTTCATCCTAACCTACACATATCACTACATCACCTACACTACTTATTGTCTTCTATAAAAAGGTACTCATAAATCTAGGGTTGTCTGGGCTGGGGCGTATTAGGTTTGTCTTCTTCAATTTATGTCTGTCAGTCGGTCTGTCTACCTACACGTATCTATCCTCTTACCTAGAAATGGTGACCTTGTTTGACTGGTAGAGAACTGTCCCAAAGCCGGCGACATAAGCTTGACAGGTGCCGGAGAGTGAATATGTGTCCGTGAAACAGGTGACGATGTGTATGCCTTAAATGGTGACTGGGTGGGTGTCCCCAGGGAAAACCGAGAATGCATGACCAACGGCACGACTGGTGATGGATGCTGAGCAGCTATGACATCTGATGCATGACAAGGTGTGTCTGGAGACTGTGGTATATCCTGTCAATCAAGTAGAAAACAATCATTATTCAGCTCTGTGTAGTACTGTCCAGACAAAAATTCAATGTTATGATTGAGGCACATACTTCTGGCATTGCTTGGCTTATCATCCATACAGAGTGAAGGCCAATCACAGAGTCGTACATCATAATGAAACTACAATCCTCTGACGTAAAGATGACATTTAGTGTTGGATCATTGACAAATGCCCTCTTGCCTGAAACACAATAATTCACATTAAACTGTCTAGCCATCACATCATGTGGAGTAAACTGGAGAAAATTCTACATGCAAGGCATAGGATTTTATTTCATATACACCCTTTTAATAAGTCCCCAGGTATTGATTTCTCCACACTTGACGTCAAATTTATTCTTTTGAAATTTTGACAATACAAAAGGAATTCAAAAGAATAAATTTGACGTCAAGTGCGGAGAACACAATACCTTGGGACTTATTAAAAGGGTGTATAACATTGACATAATAATGCCCATGATATTATAGTAAAGCTAACCTTGTGCTTGCGATGCCACTGGCCTTGGTTCATCCAACGGATGCATAACACTGAATAGAGTTGGTATATCCCTATTTGAATGGAAGAATAAATGAATGAATGACCAGAAGAAAGAAATATCAGACTTATTCCTTAAGTTGGTCTCCTTTTTATTAHTTTTTTTTGGTGGGACAAACTGTCGGGTGAAAACTATGAAATATGGAATCAGTCTAAAGAAATGTCTTGAGAGAAAAATTGAATTTATTGATTAAGAAAACTGAGACAGATGAAAGAAAAAAGATTCAACCAGTGATAAACATGAAAAACTTAAAAAAGGGTAAGTTTTGAATGATGGTTAGTTATATGGTGAGGTTTCTATTGGTGMTAAGTGAAGTATTTTCATTCTCTTCCTAATCTAGTCACAATTTCAATTACACAATAAATGGAATGCTTGACTGAATATAATATTACCTTTTCTGGTTAGTAAGCTCAGATGGTGTAACTGTCCTTTGAAGTAAAAGGCCACCAGAAATGGTCCAAATATTATGAACCTAGAAGTCAAATGAATAAAATAGGGTCTTTCTTTTTGCATGCTTCTTCAAAAGAAATATTTTCATGGCTTAACATTGAGATTGGACTTTTAAAAAGGAGATGTAAGTGGATTCACCTACAATATCAGTCCAATTTAATGCAGGACTTTTGGTATCTTAAGACTGTACAGCAAATGCAGTTAATCAAGCGCTCCTTATCATTTTATTTGCAATTCTTTAAACCATCTTCAAAATAAAATAAGAAGACAATGCCCTGCTAATTTGGTCTTAGCTGTTCATCTGTCATTAATATTTACATGTATCCTGTTAGCCTGCGTGCAGGCGTTCCTCGTTGGGGGCGGCGCAGGCTAGTATTCCATTCTCCTACCCAGATCCTCAACAGAAAATCGAGGTGAAAAATGAATTTGGTTCAAAAAATTTCCATGCACCATCAAAATGCATATATCATGCGAGAGACTCAGATTCTAGGTCTTCTAGTATCCTCACCATCCAGAGCTTTTGATTTTCCATTGGGAAACTGAGAATGGTCTGGGTAAGTGAATGCTGCAAATTTATACACAACATTGCATTACCATCACTACTCACTGGGAATGGCAAGGCCGCTGTGTAGACAGATCCASTCATGGAAAATACATTCAGATATTCATTTTCCAAGATGCAAAAGTTTTGCTCAGGCTCTGAAGGAATCAAATTCATTGTCAGACATAGCGTCCTCTGTAGAGACTATCTAATATTCAGCAATTTCAAAAACATTCTCAACTCTTTTTGTCCAGGACTGTAGCATTCTTTTTACTAGAGTACAAACACTAAAACTGTGTAACATAAATACCACTAAATACTGCTAAGTTATGCTTTCTATTGTTTTCTATTGTTTATTAACACTATTTTGCAGTGGAAAGTGTTGCACACATTTAATGTTTGTACTCTAATGTCTACATGTAACTAATATTAAACAATAACAGCAATGCATTTATATTTAATACCTCCATCCTCTAGAGAAGGCACAGTAAACTTGCACCAAAAGCAATCAATGGGTTCTGAACCAACKGTAAAGGATTTYATAAGAACCCTAGAATCGCTACAGCCTTTGCTCCATACAACTGTGCTACCACAGATGTAAACCTGTCAACATATACAGTATGTATCAGGTAGCCTGTGTATATCCATTCCCACCCCTTCCCCCTACTGGGAAAATTCTGGGGGAGGGAGGGGTGGGAATGGATGTACACAGGCTATATATCAGGTTGTAATTTACAATAAAAATGCAACATTATACATTGAGTCTTCTAAATAACTTCAAGCTAACTTATAATGCAGTTGCCCCTGAAAAGATTGTCTGAAATTWAATGGATTCAATTGTGTACAATATATCAATGAATATGAAGAAAAACTGGTTTTCACAAGACATAATGTAAGCAAAGCATATTGATTAGCATTTAGCAATAAGTGTGTTCTCACTCCACATGAGCACAATACAATAAGCTTGAAATATGACATAACAATAAGCAGAATAAAAGGGGCATCTAGCGCAAAACAGCCTATAGCTTTCATAGCTTTTTTTCTCTTTATGTTAATGTTTATGCTTGTTGCTATGATTATGGTTTATATCTAGTGAAAACAAGAGTATTCAAAATATTTTTTTTGTTTAATCTTCCAATGAAAAGTCTTTGTTTTCAATGACTCTGGGGGGTACTGTGTTTTAAGACAAATATTGAGCAATCTAGAACCTAAAATGGATATTACATTATTAAATCATGCTGAAATACCTGGTAYAATATCCGGGTATAAATATTACTGAATATAGTTCAAATTAAGTTACCTCTTCATGACAATTGTCATCCACCGACCTGACTCTCCACTTCTCAACCTTTGAAGTATAATATTTTTTTCGTCAAAATAAGCTATCATAACATTAGGCTTCTTATTTAATCTTAAGCTTATGTAACAAGAAAGTCAGTATGTGCGTTGGCATATACTGTTAAACTAATTGCATTTAGGAAGTCAAAAAGCTTACCTTGGAGGACCCCTTGGAGGCCAATTCGACTTCTTCGGATACAGTCAACCCAGATTCATTTTCTCCCTGAGGGCATTTTCCAGCTAAAGGATGACTTTTGCAAATCTCACGACCAAAAGGTACAAAAACTTCAAAGCTATCAGGCTGCATCATTCGAAAATAATACACTTTTCCACCAAAATCTACTACCAAGCGAACCAAGCTTCATTTTTGTCCGCCATATTGGAATTAAAGTTGGCGGGGAATTCGACTAGTCCTCATTCTTCCGCGTGCGTTTAATACCGCGGCGGAATCTAGTACTTTAGAAAGGATTCCATCAAGACGAWTAAAATGATGGATTCTAGCACGCAAACAAACGGAATGGAAGAAGCRAATCACACAGAATTAGACCTTGATACTGAGCCGCTAGTCATTGGGGGACTTGATTTCGGAACGTCAGACTATCATGAAGCGTATCGTGATGGCAACTTCGGTATAAAGCGTGGAAGAATCAACTTCATTCGCGCAAGGAAATGGAGTAGATCTCATTTGATCGTCGCTGTCCTCATTGA